GAGGGGAGGGGGTACAAACAGTCCGGGCGTGGAACGTCAGTAGAGAATAATATACAAACGTGACACCGTTATTTTTCCCCGGCTACTAATCAATATTGCAATGATAAGCTAGTCTTGACATAGATCTATGTAAAGAATTGCGCGCTGGAAAGTGGAATCAAACGTTGCCACAAGCTAGGCTCTGCACTGCAATAGGTTTGCCAAACAAGACGTTGTAGACAATAGACGACACAGGCGTGCATTTTAACAAATCGGCCCTTTTGCACAGTGTGCGCTCGGTAGAGTTAATCGTATGACGCACTTTCCAGGAATTTCCAGCAATTCTTTGGTATCAAAGAAACGAAAATACGACTACATCTCATTTGAAACCTAACTACTTTTGATTGAGAAAGTCAAATACATACATTACTAACTCAGTGCCTATCTATGCGAAAACCCCATCTTTGCAATAACTAACACTCGGATTCACCGAAATTGAAGGCTAGGCCCGACGACTTCGTCGTTCAATTAGATTTTAAAAATTTTGTTTTCTTTGCCTTAAACTATAAAAATAGCATGCAGCAACAGGCGTACATTGAAACATTCAGACTTGTGTTTTTGATAAATTGTGCCTCATGGTTTGAAATGTGCTCAGGCAACATCGCTTTTGCTCTGCTGCTGATCAGACATATGTGTCCATTAGGTCTTTCTTAGTAACAGCTGTACGCCACTTGCAACACAATAAGGTTATAAAAGTGCCGACGATTAGAGGTGTTACAAGTGAGTAACACACACACACACACACACACACACACACACAACAAAAGGAGAAGAAATAAGGACAACAAATTTTAGGTAAGGAAGAAGAAGAAAAACACCTGCCAACCAACCACTCACACTTCGTCTTTAGAGAGTTAAAGTTAATTTAGCAACAAAAGAAAAGAAAAAAAGAAAAAAAAGAAAGAAAGAAAGAAAGTGCTCACCCAACTCATGAGGAAGTTCCTCACACAGCACGGCGAGCGACACACTGATCCCTACGTTGAGGTCCTCCGTGAAGCCAGCTCCTATGGCGAGCCCGTCCACGAAGTTGTGGATCACATCTCCCGCCATCACCATCCAGGCCAAGGTGGTCCTGCTGGTCTGCTCATCCAGAGACAGCCCGTCCGTCAGGCTATGGCTGTGTCCATGATCGTTCTCTCTGGCCAGCAGTTCTTTCCCCCCGTTCTCAGGCAAAGATAGATCTCTGTTCTTTTTCTAGACAGATAGATAGATATATAGATAAATAGATAGATAAGATAGATAGATAGATAGGTGGGGAGATGAATGGATGGAAGGATGGAAGGACGGATGGATGAATGGATAGATGGATAGATGGATGGATGGATGGATGGATGGACGGACGGACGGACAGACAAACAGACATACAGACAGACAGACAGACAGAGAGACTGGTAGGTAGGTAGGTAGGTAGATGAACAGACAGACAGATAGACAGACAGACAGACAGACAGACAGACAGACAGACAGACAGACAGACAGACAGATAAATAGATAGATAGATAGATAGATAGATAGAACCTGTTTCATTTAAGTAAGAGTTGTACGGTACTTGCAACACAATTAGATTACATAAGAGCCGTTACAAGAGAGTAACAATCACAAACAACAGAAGGTGGAGAGATAAGGGCGACAGTTGTTCAAAAGGAAAGAAGGAGAAAACAACAACAGAGCAACGGCCAACTATCCACATTTAGTATGCATTTATTTATTTTTATTTTTTTTTTAATTTTGGGGGGGAGGGTGGACATTTCCTGTTTTAAAATACTTTTGAAACGAGGGCTGATGCCAAACAAAAGATATTAACACCATCAAGGTATAGCAGTCAGTACAGCAAACATAGGTAAGCACACGGTTTCATTGTTGCATCCATGGTGTGGCTGCATTATATGTTGAGCAAACATAATACTTATAACAACATTGCGAGGACAATTTACTATAGATATATTTGTCTATGTCTAATTAAAAATCTCCCCTCTCCCCTTATTGTTTTGATTGTGAAAATCTTAGGAATATCGAAATGAATAAATCATTAGTAATGTACCACTAGAAAAAAAGCTAAGGGGGCGGGGTAAAAAATAAAGCTTTACATATTAAAACTTAACAAATTCGTAAGCATAAATATCGTATACAACTGCAATACAGAAGTCTCTCAAATATCAAAGTAGATGCAGGCTAAATCGTACAACATGTTCAAACTACTCATCTGTCTTGAAAAGAACATTACAAAACCCACTGAAACTGTGACTATTACAGTCTGCCGCTGGTAGGTTGTATCCTTCTAAGCCAAGGTTGGCCTTGATAGCGCCTAACTCCTACATGAACCGCTGAATATTATATCATCAACCTCCCAAGGTATTGAAATAAAAGAGTCAAATCCTTGTTAAAAACTGACAGCCTTCCATAAACAATAATCTTTATCTGTGGAAATGAATAAATCCGCCTTTATGTGAGAGGTGTAACTCTCATGAAATTGAAGACGAATATTACTTTATTTTTTTTAGTCCAAATTTTGCCCATCAAAGGAACTATTGTTAATCCCCCCCC